ATGTCCAAACTTTATTACTACTTTCAAACTTTTATTAAAACTTTATAAGAGCAGAAGTTAAAAACCTGAGACCAACTTGGTATTTACATGAAAACTAATAAAACCTGAGACCCAGACGCTGAATTCATAAATACTGAAACACAAAGAGCAGTAAAGACGCCGCGGACAGGAAACTGACATCACCACAGAACTCCAGCGTCCCCAATAATCAATCATGAAAACAGCTGAGAAATACATTTAAAGGACACTTAAATCAAAACAAGGCAGCCGATCGTCACGGTAACGGCACGGCTGACGTCACATGGGCTTGGTGGTGCTGTTATAAACAGACGTCTCCTCCTTGGACAGTGCTTCGTGGGTGGGGCCCGTGTTGACGGGCCTGTGTGTGCGCCTCTTGCGGGCCCTCAGGAAGCAGTAGGCCAGGATGGCCAGCAGAGACAAGATGGCCACCGACAGGATCACGGCGAGCGTGATGGAACCTGTGGAGGAGGACAGTGAGGTCATGTCCTGTTTGTACTGTAGAACAGTTGAAAGCTGAGGTTAAATCTCTCACTTGAGTCGTCGTCTACTTCCTTGTCGAAGCGCTCAAACAAACCTCTGGCGAACACATCGTTCTCTGCAGGGAAAGAAGAAAAAGCAGCAGTGAGTTCCAAAACTCATAAGCGGGTGAGCCGCTCTCTCTTCCCGTTTCCTTATCTGGAAGTCAGCGAGTTTTATGAAGTTCTGCCGGAGTGCTTACATTTCTGTGCTTCAGCACAAACTGCGTCAGGTTAGCGAGAAGACGTCTGAATGACATTGTCACAGAGTCATGTGACTGCAGTGTATGTGAGCAGTTTCTGTGTGTGGAGCTCATCTCATGAGTGAAGGGTCCTAACGTTTGATTTCCCACAGACAAAAAAATCCCAATTTTTACGTTTGTGTTAGCTGGTAGCCAAGGCAACGCCACCTTCAGCCGGCCAATAGAAGCCGCTCCCGTGCTTAGCGAGACGCTCACTTTCTTTAAGTCAGAGCGCTGCAGTGTGGGTGACGCTCAGGTTGGGTTGATCTTTAATCTGCTGGAAAGCCAGCGCTCTGTTATGAAGATTAAGTGTTTGTGTGTGCGAATGTGTGTGTACCGCCGACTTCTTTGCAGTACTCTCTGCATGTCTGATCGTCTGGAAAGTTGTTTTCGTTCCCGTCACAGCCACCGTAGGTGAACTCGTGACACTTCTGGTCCAGGGGGTCATAGTACCAGCCGGGGAATTTGGCCCGGCACGGACCGGTGCGGGGAGGCTCCGTGCACTGAGCTGAGGGGGGAGGGGTTAATTAGCATGTAGCTTGTTAGCTTTGAGTATTTCTTTAACAAAGAAATTTAAAACAAACCTTTCTTCTTGTTCACATCAATGTCCAGAAGAAGGCTCAAGGTCTGATTCACTGAGGAGGAGGAGGAAGGTCAGCTACACTCAGTGTGTGTGTGCGTGTGAGAGTGTGTGTGTGTGTGTGTGTGTGTGTGTGTGTGTGTGTGTGTGTGTTACGTTGGTGGCACTGGCTCTCGTCTGATCCGTCGCTGCACTGCTTCACGTTGTCACACTCCATACTTCTGTCCAGGCAGCAGCCGTTGCCACAGGTTAGCTGATCAGGACCGCACGGCGAGCTGCACACCTCTTAAAACACACACACACTGAGCATCCTGGTTGTACTGTGGAGCAGAGATGAAGAGGTGCGCTGTGGGACTGACCTGCAGCGGGCAGAGTAACACTCCTCTGCGATGACACTGTGGACAAAAATACAGAAACAGTGTTACAATAAAGGTGTGTGTCTGTGTTCATGTGTACATGTGTGCGTGTGTGTACCTGTGACTCCTCTGCAGGCAGACAGACACTCTTGTTCAGACAGGAAGTTGTTCTCGTTTCCTATACAGCCTCCGAACACAAACATCTCACAGACGCCCTTTGTGATGTTGTAACGCCAGCGAGTAAATTTTGCGCGGCACGGCCCGACCTTCACCGGAGCCTGACAGTATGCTGAGGGCGAGGACAGCGTCAGTTACATCACTTCCTGTCAGACTTTTACCTACAGAAATACAGCTGACTGCAGTGCTGAAAACAAACAGGGTGTGCCACTGTGACAACACTTGCACCATTTACTGTTGTGCAAACTCCCATTTTACGGTTTTAAAGCCCGACTCTGGTCAGAGCTGCGATCAATACAGACTCAGTGAATCACGTGACCCTGAAATCAGCTGAAAGGAAGATGTCAAATAGAATTACGTCAAGTTTCTGCTGTGAGTGTGGGGGCGTCCTCTGAGCGTGCATGAGTCAGGTAATCCAGTCTGACCAGTTTAAGAGGAGCGAGAAAACAAACACCATTCCCTCCACCAATTAGCTGACTCTGCTTCTACCACACCGTTTAACTGATCAATAACACAGTGATTCAGCCATCAGCTGATCGATAAAGTGACGATAAGTGAAGACTTCAGACCCAATAAAGTCAGACTGAGATGAAACAAACTAAACGTCCTCAAAACCTAAAATTGACCAAATTCTCTATTGACTCTGGCACAGGGCTCTGCACATGCTACAGACTTATTGTTGGAATACATATCCCATGAGCACTCACAGCTGGTCTGTTGTGGGTTAAGAACGAGGACTGTGACCTTGGCATCATCTGATTTGCCGTTGGAGTCGTTGACCGTCAGCTTGAAGACATACGAGCCTGTCTGCAGGTTGGAGAGCTGCACCTGGTCAGGATAATTGGTCTCCTGCAGAAGCCCATTCAAAAATAACAGCATTTAAAAGTGAAATGAGCTGGACTCAGTCACAGCTGAATGCTGCAGAGGGACGCTGAAGAACAATTACATTCACCTGGACACACCTGCACAGACACAAGTCCTTATTTTAACTTCCAAAAACCAAGGCAGAGTGAAAACTGGACAGATTGTGAATGAGATTTGGTGGGCTGGAAGCTGCTCTGCTGAATTTTATATTCAAAGTAGTGGATACAGTGAACTACCCGTCTGTCTCCAGGTGAAGTCTCCCTGTAACACAGAAGCCCCCACCCCCGTGCTGCAGCACCTGTACCTCTATCTTTACACTGCTGTCTCCTCTCTCCAGACTCCAGCGGTAGTCTTTAATTTTTGCGCCGCTCAGCGCCACACTCTCAGTGCCGTTGAGCATCACAGTCTCTCCAGGCTGAATGGTGACATCACGGCCTGCGTTGGCGACGGGCGGATGCTTCTTACCTGGAGACAGAGTGAGGGGGAGCTGAAGTCAGATGGATTCTGAGACAGGGTCAGAGATCACGTGCATAGAGAGGAAGCGCAGCCTGAAATGATAATAATAATGGATTGCATATATAGCGCTTTTCGAGACCCTCAAAGTGCTTTACAATTCCACTATTCATTCACTCTCACATTCACACACTGGTGTAGGCAAGCTACAGTTGTAGCCACAGCTGCCCTGGGCAGACTGACACAAGCGAGGCTGCCAATCAAGTGAGGTGGGGGCCGGCCCGGCCAACACCAGTAGGCGGTAGGTGTCCAAGGACACAACGACCAAGACAGACAGAGCACTGGCGAGGCGTTAGCCCCACAGTTACGATGGAGGTGAGCTGGTCACAGCGTTGTGCCAGTGGCTTCAGCCACAGATAACAGGCGTCTGTGCCGTGGTTATCTGTCAGCGTGGAGGGAACATGTGACATCCTGTAACACTTAATCAGCTGATCACGGCGGTCTGAGAGAACGAAGCTGCAGATCATCTTTAACCCGCTCCTCACACAGCAGAGGAACACGCCGTCTACGCGACAGCTGCTCTTCAAAAACATTAAACAGAAGCTGTGTCCCAAAACCTAGGCCACGTCCTTCGGAGGACCCGGCCTTCGCAGTCTATGTGGGCTGGTGTTCTGGGAGTCCATCCTACCTGAAAAAACATCCTACACAATGTTTCTGTGCAGACACAGTGCATGCGCACAACACCAAACACAGAATTAACTCCTTTTTCTCTCACCCATCCAGAATACTTCTTAAGGTTATGGTTAGGATTATGGTTAGGGGTAGGGTTAGGTTTAGTCGCAAGTCACCCTCAAATTATAATGCGGGTAGGACGTTTTGTCAGAGTAGGATAGTTTCTCAGAACACCCGGTCCTGCTCCGACGAACAGGCGTGTGTGTTCTGACCTGGCGACCCTGTCGGGCTCCGAGTCTGCCCACCGACCTCCCTGCTGACACACTTGGGCCCACAGCCAATCACCCGCCTCCATCCCTCCTCTTGCCTGCATCTTCACCCCCCTGCACATGCTCAGACCTCTCTCAGCCTCCGAGAGTCCTTCTGATCCTGCTCACTGAGCAGAACTGACATCACGGAGAGTCAGTAAGCCTGAAAGTACTCACCTTCTTTCTGGGGGGCTGCCAGGTACTTCCGGTACACGGCGTCTCTGACGTAGCTCTTGTACCCGCTCTGGGTCACGAACCTGCACGCGAACCGATTCCTACGCACGCAGTTGAACAGCACGCACGTGCGGTTCTCCTCTCCGGGGACGCTCGGCTCCAGCAACGCCAGGTTGCAGTGCACTTGCCCGCAACACGCGCGCTTGCACTCGAGCTCGGAGTAGAAGCTCGCGGTGGCCAACATGACCGCGCCCTGCTTCACCGCGTCCTCCGCGTACAGCACGAAGTCCTCGTGCCCGCGCCGGAACTCGTCCTCACAGTGCGGGTCCACCGCCCCCCCGGACCGCAAGAGCGCGAAAACGAGGAGGAGGAGGGGGGAGGAAGAGGAGCGCGTGGACATGTCCGTCTGCGGTCAGTCTACGCGCGAGGAGGAAAAGACGCTCAGCTCCGATGTACCTCCTCAGGTGTGTCTCACCTGCTCTCTGACAGGAAGACAAACACCTCGCCCCGCCCCCACACAGGTGATTCTGACGCGCCGCTGACGTCAACAACAACAACAGGTGAATTTATGGATCCGACAGGAGAGCGTGAAAAACATCACACATTCAAAGATAAGTAAAGGTGATCCCACTAAGCCCAGCGTCACAGACTCTCACACAGACGTCACTCTGTCTGTGACGCTGGGTTTAAGAAACAAGAGCTCAGTTAAAAACATGTTTATCGCCATCTTCTGTTAGTACGGAGCATGTGGTTGGCTAACAGACTCATATTAGTTTATGTTAGCTAACTAGTGACAGAACCAATAGCTCAGAGGAAACTAAACATCAGAGTACGAGGATCACTGTAGTGCTGCAGCAGTGAGGCGTTAAACCAGGATATACTGTACACTTTACCTTCTGTGGCAGGAAGTGTCTGTTCGCTGTTTGGCTAGCTACATGGTTATGGTTGGGTGTTAGCCTAATTAGTTGTGATGTTTGCGTTTGTAAAGCACTTTATGAGGACTGTGGAGCAGAGCGCGGATTTATCACTAATCAGTAAAATCGTTTCTAAATCAAGTACTGATTAATCAGTGCAGTACGATCAGTCAGCATTTCACACTCTAACCAGCAGGGGCACTGCAGCAACACCTGAAGCGGGCCAATGAGAGGCGCAGCCGGAAGTTAAAAGGCAGATGGTTTATGTGATTTTTACTGATTATTTGTGATTTGGATGATTTTCAGGTAAAGGAACGGAGTTTTGGTGGAGTGTGTTTTTTTCCCCCCATCTCACTTGATTGCTTCGCCAAACTCTATTCAGAAAAGATCAGATTTCAGTTAAACGTGATCAACTGAGCTCTGTGATCTAAGATAGCTTTTATAGTTTTGGATGAAGCAGCAGGATTCCTACTTTAATTCAGCTCACTCTGAAACCGACATGGAGAAAGGTTTCTTAGTACAAAGCGCTGATGAAGATGTGATGATGCTAATGTTTTGATCCACTTTGAACGAGCAGAATTTGACGTTTCTATGAGCAGGTTTGGCAGGTCAGAGTTCAGGTGAGTTTCACCTTTTTTCACTTACAAATACTGATGTTGACTTTAAGTGATAATAAAAGCCGACAAGAGCAGGAACCTGTTTAACAGTTTTTTGCCTGCTAATGATTTAATTGAGATTACAGTTTAAAATGTTAAATATGTTTATTTAAAAATAGAAAAATAATAAAATTTTCACTTTTAAATATCTCAAATAAAATGCATCTTTCTGACACTTCAATTATAGTTTTATTAATTGTTTTTATCACTTTGACCTCTGACCTGCATGACATTTGATTGGTTGGTGGCTGTGTTACAGTTTTACTGTTTTAAAAAATGAAAAGTGTTTTTGTTTGGAGTTATGAAGCCTGGCAGGACTCATCTTCATTGCTCTGGCTCTGACCTGTAAATGATTTTATTTCAGTTTAGTTTTCCAATAGTACAGTGAAATTGTAAGACTGTCCCGCGTCAGCACTACGGCTGTGTCCCAATTAAGAGACCGCACGCTTGAAGTACGCGCACTACGCGTACTACGTACGGTGCGTACTATAAGTACGAGAAGTGCAGAAGTGAGAGGATTGTGAAATGGGACGGTCTAGCCTTCATGGCGCTGTTCAGGTTGCCTAGAAACGTTACATACAGCATTGTGTGACAGAAATGAAGGAGAAAAAATGTTTTTTTGTTAGTTCATTTTTGTCATGACATCACTGTGATTAGTTGAGTATCTGAGGCTGAGACCACGGGACTGTAAAACATGATTGTTGGGCTTCATTTCTGTGTGAACAGTCATTTCAAGATTAAATAACAATTAGCTAATGTTGTTCATGAGACTAAAATCATCTCACTGTGGTAATGTAAATATAATATGGCCAATATTATATGTATTGTCAGATTATTATGATACATATATATATATATATATATATATATATATATATTACAGAATATATTACAGCAGTGAGCTTGAACTCTGGGTCAAAGATTCAAGTTGCAGTTATTTATATTTCCTGTCACCTAAAATCTTCACTCAAAGACAAGCATTTTTGACAGTGTATGTACAGATATATTATACATAAGAGACAAATATTGTTTGTTTAATTTGTTGGCATTATTACATTTGGCTCAATGCTTACATATATGTGTAAAAACAAAATGTAGGAGCTATGAAAACTGTTGCTGATAGAATGAAGAGTAGACTGATATATTAAATATTCCTTTATTGGGTGAGAAAATCAGACCATGTCATAACTGCTTTAAGTCATACAGAATAGATATCAGAGCCTTAAACAGGCTGGCTTCTGCTAAATGGGTCAAACTGGGCAGAAAGTCTACAAACACATAACATCCTTATAGAATATGATGTAACACTATAGATCAACTTACCTCAGAATATATAAAGCATATAAACAATTACAGTAATATGATGCAACAAACACAGCAGTACTACTAATCCAAAATACTCAAAGCTTCATAGAACTGAAACAAACATTTATCTTTAGCTCCATTCTGCTGCTGATACATACTTTAGGTTTCTGAGTATTAAACTTGTTGCTGCCTTTCATAGTGTGTAACTTGAAGGCCCTGAGTACTTTCTCCCACACTGAAAACACTGGAATGATAAAATTATTTGAACATTACCTAATAAGACTGATTCAGGACAGACAATTAGTTATGTTAAACTTTTCTAGCAGTCCTTCACAAACAGGGAACAGTCTGTCTATTCTCTCCAGCTGTCAGCTGCTGCTGGCTCTTCCTCCTCCTCTTCCTCACACACTGCTGAGTTTGTCCTGGTGGATCATCAGGGTGCAAAGCCTCACAGATGATGTGCAGCAGTGGGTCCCTCAGTCTGTCGTCACTCTGGACACTTGCAGTTGTCACACATGGAAATCAAATGTGTGATAAGCTGCAGGATTCAAACACAAGTGTAACTTATAAACACATGTTCATACTTTTATTACACAATCAGAGAGAAAGAAACAGAGAGAGAGTGCAGGACAGACAGACAGCTGACAGTCTCAGGTGTATACACTGCTACAAAACAGCACAAGAGAAGGAGGATTTAGTGATTGTGTTATTACGAGTGCTAAACAAGAAGAGTTCCCAGATGGTACAGTGGACACATGTGTGACTCCTGTGATTAAAGCATCTTTCTATCAGCTTAACGAGTGAACCATCAGCTCGTTCAAACACACGTTAAAGTCCGTTTGGCTCGACACCACCGAACAGAGGCAGCAATATAACATAGCTAACATTAACAGTGCAGTGGATCCTGCTTGTGCCGTGATATTCAGGACCGCAAACCGAGCAGCATCACTGACTTTCAGCTTGTTTGTGGATATATGACTGACTTTAATTATCCATAAAATCATCACATTCTCTGTAAGATTAAGGTCAACTATATATATTTTTTGAAGTAGAGGCTTTAAAACCAAGTTAACGCTGAAAGTACAAACATCGCTAATGTCACATAACTTTGCAGACATGTGGCCAACAGTAATGTTTTAATGTTCTTCGTTATTAAACATTCGCACATAAATAAGTGACATAATATTCAGTACTTACTTTTGACAGTTCACTCTTCGGCCGCTCCCTTTTGTCGTCTGTTGTATTTTGCGGCAAAATTATCCACACCCACCGCCATGCTATGAATTGTGGGATATATGGGACCACGAAGCGTGCACCGGACCATGCTTGATATTTGGGGAAATCGACGGCGCATTTGGAGTATGCATTTGAAGTACACTTCGAACTGGGACAGCCGTCGTCGCGTAGCGGTGACGTAATCGCACTTGAAATGCGTACTCCAAGCGTGCAGACCCTGAATTGGGACACAGCCTACATAAGACACGAGATGACACATCACAACACAAGACAGTAACTTAAGTAATAAAAAGAGGTTATTAGAGGTTATTCATCATAGTTGTTATTGATTATCGATTGGTTTGTGTCCTCCAGCTGCAGGTGAATGATGGTGGAGAAGGTGACATACTCCAAAGAGCTGCTGCAGCGATGAGGTGGGGGGGGGAGCTGAGCTTCGAGGAGCTGCAAGCTGAAAACTACAATCAGGAGCAGTTGGAAGTGGAGGGTGAGTTCACTGACCATGCGATGCTCATGAGGTGTTCACTGATTGCAGGTTTGAGTTGATCAGCTGATTAATGTTTGTGTCTTCCAGAGAAACTGAAACCTTTGAGCGAGGAGGAGGAGCTATTTGTTGGAGTTGCTACCTCTGATTTTGGAGTAACCCATGGGTGCAGGAACTCATGGCCTCAAATGCCAGTTTCCTGCAGGTTTTAGATATCAAGCTGGGTCAACACACCTGAATCCTGAATGAACCTGAATGATTAGTTAATTACCAGGCCTCTGGAGAATTTCAAGACATGTTGAGGAAGTAATTTATCCATTTAAATCAGCTGTGTTGGATCAAGGGCACATCTTAAACCTGCATGACACTGGTGCTCGAGGCTTGGAGTTGCCTACCCCCGGAGTAACCTTTGGATGTATTCGAGTACATTAGAGTTCTCAGAGTAACTGTGGCTCTCCCTGCAGCTGCTTCCTGTCTCCTCATGTGGACCTCTCACCGGTGCTTCCTTCCAGATATACGACGAATTCCAGTCATATGCTGCAAGGCCTGCTGGATAATAAACATACACCCTGCTCTCTGCTGCCACCTACTGTGTGCACCAGAAACACTTTTTGTTCTGCACGTGTGTGAAAAGATGCTTACCGTAGTTTGAAAGGATTAAGTTCCTGTTTCCTGCTATCCATATGTCAGAGGAAGAGGACTGCTTACATCTTACAGTTACAGTCAATTCCTTCTTTTGAAGAGTGCTCCCTCTCATCTGTTTTGATTTTTATTAAAGCTTCAAACAATAAATATTACATCAAATTCACATCATGTTCCTCAGAATTCACTAATTAAGATTAGTTTAAGAAATCATTTAACAAAATTTATTTGATAGGAAAAATGTTATTGTTTGTTAGTCTCATCAGAATTTCTAAACAAAAACAGAAGCATATTTATATTAAGAAAGATGAAATTTCAATCAGATGATCTGCCATAAAATGTTTCATCATACTCCTGTTACCTGTTTCCTTTCGTCCTGCACAGGTGCAGTCATACAATGTGTTTTGGGCTTTTATTGTGAAAAGGACAGGAAAAATGCATACATCCAGGACAATCGAGTTTCTGGTATGGGTCGGCACGTCTCTGGGTGCATTCAGAAGTCAATGTTTCTCAGGCAGGTTCCTCACGCATAATCAGAGCTGTTCCAAACACTAAGGAAAGGAGCTTCAGTGCTTCTTCCTTTATAGCTCTGTTTAGCAGAGGAGACACTGGACTATCCTAGAAGTCCTTTGCTGGATTGCAGTACTTGGGATTCATGGTTACTTCAGGCCATGTCCACACTGATACATTTTTGTTTGAAAACGCATCTTTTTCTCTCCGTTTTGGCGTTCTGTCCACACTCAGATGGTGTTTTTGTTCAAGGAAAATGCAGTGTTTTGAAAAACCCTCTCCAAAGCAGATACATTTGAAAACGCCATTTTTGCATGGCAGTGTGGACAGCAAAACCAGAGCCTTTTCGAAAATGATGACAGATTTTAGTCATGTGATACAGTCATGTGACCAATGAAACTAAGATAGCGGAGGGCATTATACAGCGGTTGTTTTGTTTGCGCTCAATTTTGACAGCCCTATTAAAGATTATTATCAGTTTGCACATGCTCCAGATAGCTGTGGGGCTGACTCACTACCAGACTTTTGTGTTACAGCAAAAACTCCACCTCATCGTTAGTCCATTTTAAAAACTCAGTGATGATGGAGGAAAACCTAATGAGGGAGGAGGAAAGACTGTCCACTGGAGGACGGAGTGTGAAGGAGAGCACTGCAGGCCTGCTAACCAAAATGAGCCAGTGTGAGCTCGGGTTCAGTGTTTCTCTCTGAAAACAGCGAGACACATCATATAAATGAGAGGAAGCTGAAGGAGGATCGATTCCAGGGGCGGTTTTAGCCCATTTTTGGGGGTGCTTCAGTTACTCTTTATATAGTTAGGTAGGAGTTCCAACCTAATATTATAATGGATTGGGGAGATTAAAATTAATGATATATTTTTATGTGGTTCAGCCACAACTCTACTGAAACCTCAGCCAGTAATAGGTAGGCCAACTTTTGGACCGTCCAGTTGTCTGTATGACTGCCGCAGTACGTGCACCACATTTGCACACTATCAGAAAGTGCCAAACAGCCCTGATGGAGTGAGGAACTGTAAAGAGAAGCAGAGCGCTCTGTTTATAGTCTAAAAATGTTTTAAGCTAACTTGTTTCAAAGATTCTGTACAGCAGCTTTAAATGTTTTCCAAAAGCACACATACACTTACCTTATCAGTGTTTCTCAAACTTTTTACAGCGTGTACCACCTGAGAAAAACGTCAAGCTGTCCTAAGTACCACTATGAAAGCATGAAACTCAAATCTTACAACACAAAATTAGTATCTCCAGTAAAGATTTTTTCATACATTGTATACATTCTACCACAGGCAAAGCTGCCTCCATTTTTATTTTAATATTTTGTAATAATTTATTTGTAATAATTTATTCTGTTTTGGGAGTGTTTTTATGTATCTGTATTATATTATACATACACATTAAAAGTGAAAAAATACACTCAGTTTACTTTTTACTCACTATGAGCATCATTCATCATTTTCCCCCAGTAATTAAGGTTGTGATATGTATTTTTTTTTTAATTCCAATCCATTCTTCTTTTGCAGCATTTAAATAACCTTGATCAGATTTGATGGTTTTGTTACAGACTTTTCAAAAAAGTGTTTTGCTTTTCTTTCACAAATGTGGGGATTAAATTGTGTTAAAATGTACAAAACAGTGATGTCATGTTTTGTGACGAGGACCCAGGCACAGAGAGACTTGATGAATTTAAGAATCTTATGATTTAATAAAGAAATTTTCAGACTTGCACAGAGATGGTAAAATTATGATGACTGATAACAGAGACGAAGACAACAGATGATGAGGACAGGGAGGAACAGGGGTTTAAATGCACCAAGGAGACAGTCATAGAGAACTTGGGACAACTGGAGACATTTAAGGATGCAGGGACTGACAGACACGGGGAAGACGTCTCATCGTGACGAGTAAAGTCTATCTTGCCTGGCTGGGCAGCTCTCTGGGTGCTCAGCACCCCCAAAGCTCTGATCCTAGAATCGCCCCTGATCGATACGCTTTTGATTTAAGAAATAACACATTGAGCACTGTTCAAAAGTCTGAGGATCAGGACTCAGGTGAAGCTCAGATTTACCCAGAGGAGAGCTGCATCATTACAAACTGCACTCTGTGTGAACAGCTGACACTACGACGTGCAGAAAAACACAAATATTATTTACCGTTAGATCACGAGCCATTGCAGTTACTATGCTTACTGTGACACGTGCGTGAATATGTTCAGTCACAAGCTGACTCTGAGCCTCTTCAGTAACATAAAGAATTCTTTGTGCTCTGCCGACGTCAGTAAATGTGACCCTAAATGTTTCTCTATAATGAAAGATATCTTCACAGGCTGCCGCCATCAAACAACAGGGTTGGAACAAAATGCACATTTTACATTACCGCAGTAATGTAAGATGTGCATTTTGTAGTCCATCTTCTGCACATTGTAGTTTCAACATGGCAGACATCCTAAGGTGTTGTTTGACACTGTGATGGCATGCCACACATGGTAAGCTCCACACCTCACTACCCGTTGATTCGCTTTAGTTTAATTTACAGTCACTACTTTAAAATATTCTACTTATTGTTCAGTATTGTTTCTTTATTAAATGTATTTATTTTTCCATCACACCTTCCAATGTTTATATGGCGTGCACACATATTAACCTTGCAAGGTCAAAGTTCTGTTTTATGTTATATTAATACATCTTTCTTTGTTTGAGTTGCCTGGGGGTTGGCTTCTCCTGTCTGGCAAAAGGTGCAGCAAAGGGCTGGGAGACCTGAAGTACCACTGACAGCCTAATTGGATTGCACCACATGCTTCATTGCCTGGGGGGTGTTTCACGTTTGTTTAATTGTTTTGTATTAGTTGGTTATATGGCAGCCATTTGGTTTAGCTAAACCAGTATTTAAGTTCCCCTGTGTGTCATTTCAGGAGGTCAGTTTGTCTTATGTTTATTTGAGGTTTTGTTAATTATTATCTTGAGTTTAGTTTATTGAGTTGACCTCTTTTTATTGGTCTGCCTGTTTAAGTTTTGGCTTTGTTAAATATATTTTCATATTTTTGGGTCAATAAAACCCCTTTTTTTTTTTAAATTAAAACCACCTGTGTCCTTTATGCTTTACTGCTTGGTCCCTGACAGACACCATTAGCAATTTTGTTACTCCTTGTTCAGTGTATTTGTCCCTCTGTGCTTAGCATACTCAACACCTCACTGCTCTCTGCTCAAATCCCTGCTTACTTTAACAAAGCTGTCATCCACCCATTTTAAAACAAACCCAAACTTGACCTTTCTTAGCAATTAGAGACCAAAATGATCAGTAGTTATTGAGATATTAGAAAAGGTTGTGGCTATGCAGCTTAGATCTGTCTTGGATAATGACAGTGTACTCGACTCATTTTACTGAAATTGCTCTTTGTTCTCCAGCAGCAGTGATGCAGGAGAGTGTTTGGTTCTGCTGATGTTGGAGCTGACCTTTTGATACTGTCAACCACCATAGTTTGCTCCATAGGCTGAAATGCTGGTTCTGTGTATCTGGGTCTGCTTTGCATTCTACATCAACGATACTTTTCTGTGGCCGTTTCTAGTCATAGGTCCTTGTCCTCTTCTCTCAGCTATGGTGTGCCACCAGGTTTTGTACTGGGCCCCATATTGTTTCTGTTATACCTGTTATATCACACATTCTGAGTACCTGCAAATTGCAGATGAATATCCAACTGTGACTAACATTGTTCTGCATACAGGGTCAAATGATGTGTCCAAACAACAGTCAGAGGTTCTGAAACGGGACTTTACTGGATTATTAAATGCAGTAAATTCTCTGAATGAAGCTGTATTCATCAGTGGACCTGTACCGCCCGTCAGGAGAGGAGAGATTCAGCAAGTTGTTTGCACTAAATAAATTGCTTATATCAGCATGTGCTGACCACTCAGTGCATTTTATCAACAATTTTAATTTTTTTTTTTGGGAACGAAGGCATTTGTTTAAACAAAATGGATTTAATTTTAACAAGTCAGGCATGCAGCTGTTTCAACTTGTTTTACTCCATATGTCATCCATCTGTGCTTGGTGCCAAGGCTAAGATAAATGAGGAGCTATCTCATAGGGAGGAACAAACAAAGCTTGAGGAGGAGCTTCATCTGCCCCCACCTGGAAAGAGCCTCAAAAAGGAGAGCCTTCAGAGGCAAGAAGAGGGGTCCTTATTTGTCTCCAACGCTCTCAACAATACCAACGACCAGGACCAGAGACCACGACCTTCCCCAGCCCCCCAAACCCCTGACAGGTCATCACCCTCCTCCCACTCCTTTACTCCCTCCTCCCTGCACCTGAATTTCACTGAGGAGATGATGGAGTGGGTCAATGCTGGACTTGGATCTACTCCCCGGCCCAATCCCTTTTTGTCCCCTATAAACCCCCCACCAGAGCGGCCTAAGGTTCACCATCGAGCCCCGCTCCCAACAGAGCAGTTGAAGTTACATTGTGTGTGTTTTCTCTAAGGACAGTACGAAAACATTAAAGAAAGGGGGGGAAGAAAAGCCACCTCTTTCCTATCGGTGGAAAACTGCACCATGTCGATCAATTAATAACACTCACCTTCCTTCCATTTCCAGAGTGTAACATCCAACCATCTGTGTAAAATCCGAAATTCCCATGGTGTTGTTCAAAA